ACTATACCAGATTGATTGTGCAACAACCAAGATTAAATAGACTCATCTTGCAAATGAATAGGGACAAAACAACAAAACCTAACAAAATAAACTTAAGCAATAGGATAACAACTCCAATGAAATAGAAGTGTATCAAAGCAAAGGACGAATCAATTTTCAACCACAATTGCCTTGCATTGGCTTGTTTCATCCATGTGAGGTCACTTCTCTTCCAAATCCATTTACTAACCCATTTCATTCCTTAGAATTTATACTCTTAGAACTCTCCTCAAGTATAGAAAATGTGGGACCTTTTCCTTTGACACACCCACACAAAACTTCAACACACAATAATCTTTCCGTTGATAAAATCATACTTATGGTGTAGAATTATGTTTTTCTGTTAAATAAGATAAAACTAACTTATAGCCTATAGGTAATAGAAGAAGCAATTAATAAAGATATTGCCAATTAAACACTATTGGAAGAAAGTATGATTCAAGGACTTTTGAAGGGAGGTAGTAGAAAGGGCTATTTTTATTAATTGTTTAGTGTTAAACTTAGGTTTTGATAATTACAAAAATAAAAAAGTTTGCTTTTTGCATATAAGAATCACTGGCTGATTTTAAGGGAATTAAGCAACTATGTGTAAAATTCTTTAGCATTCCTTGTCCTATTCTATTTTTCTATCCTTAAAATAATTATTTGAATTATTTTCTATCCTTAAATTAGTTTTGCTCAAATTAATCTTATGTAAATCTGTTGCTGAATTAATTCTTGAATATATCGATATATGTCAATCCTACCAATATATCTTCATCCTACCAGTATAATTTCTTCCTAGCTAAATATCTTTGGTGATTGTGCACTAATCATTCCTATCAGTAGGTATGAATATCTACCAGTATGTTTATCCCCTACCTAAGGATATTACTTCTATAAAAATGTCTTAGCCTCTTCTCACTATACAAGTACTACCGATATATCCCTATTTATACTGGTATGTCCTACTTCTACCTAAAGATTCAACTTCTACCCAAATATCTTCATTTGCTTTCAGCCTTCAGTATTCTTGTCTTTCCTACTGGTATATCAGAGACCTGCTTAAATATATTCTTCATAACCAATTGTCTCTTTTCCTACAAGTAGAAATATCTTTCAATCATTGCCTTTTACGTAAAGAACTTTTGGCTAAATCTCTCCTACCGATATGTATTCTCTCTCTCTCTCTCTCTTCAGTCATTCATACTTATACTAGTATATACACATTCCTACCGATATATCTTTAAAGATTTATCCTCTATTTTTTTGCTTTTAAAACTAAGTATTTTGAAACACCTTCAATCTCAATTCTTTTCCACTTCTCTGTGTTGTGCTTGCCTTTTTATTTATCTAGAGCTTTTTATACACAACTAAGGGTTAGATTAAACGTTATCCCAACTTGTGATTAATTTTTTCTACCAATATATCTTTGCTCTACTGGAATTACTTTTTTTTATATCTTTTATCAAAACATTTAGTGCATATAACCGTTGCTTTTCTTAACGTGTCAATGACCTGTAAACCTGTCGGAAAAGCATTGTTTCATTGCCTTAAATGATGAAAGACTTAGAGTAAACAAGATGAAATGTTTAGTGTTCAATGGCAAACACATAAGTCTAACGGATATATTTTAAGAATTAACTATAAATTGGACTCATTTATGAAGTAGAAGTTATAAGAAATTAATCGAGCCAACTACTCACATTTACTCTCTAACAACTTTTTGTTATTACTTTCAATATTTTGAATGCTTTGTTAATTGTATATTCACTCTGAAAGAGAGTTTTATTATAGTAGTGATTCATTATTGAATTCACTCTATTTTTCTCTATATTTCTCATCTAAGATAGAATTACTTAAACTCGAGGAGCTTAAAGAGATTTAAGATCACCATTGTATGGAGGAGAGTTATAGACTAGAGGAAGGGTCTAAATTATACTATTGCAACCAAGAGCCTAGATTGATCTTGGTGGAGTTAGTAAAAAATCTCAAGTATATCTTGAAAATTAGACATAGGCTCAAGTTGTTAGAGCTAAACCAAGATAAAGACTCTTTACAAAGCTTCTCTTCCTTCTCTTGGCTCTATTTGGTGATATCATTCCTTCCTTATAACTATATCTACTTAAATTATTTTAAATTTTAATTATCCCAATGCACTCCCTTGGGAGGATTTTACATTCAACAATTGGTAAAGCTTTGTGACTAACTCCCAAATCAAAAAGTACTGATATCTTTCATTCAAATTCTCTACATTCATAAAATGAATACAAAAGGGTGCATTTGGAAAGAGAGAAAGGGAAAGAAGTAGAGAGATAGACCCCATTCCTCATTGCCAAAAATAAGTATTGTATACAGTCACATTCTTTTGCATTACCTTCTTTCTCTTGACATTTTTCTAATCCTATTTATAATGTAGAGAAAAAATATTTATTTTTTTTGAGTAGAAGAGACAATATTTATTTTGTTCCTATTTATATAGCACTTTAATAATTATTATGTCAATTTTTACCATTTTCCCTTATTAAATGTTGGAAAGGTTATTAAATGTTAGAATACTTTGTTTTTAAATATATATATATATATATATTTAATAGGAATAAAATTAAAAGCATGTTAACTTTTTAGACAGATTTAATAAGGTTTAAGGTTTTTCTTAATTTTTGTACAAATATTGGAAGTGGCTTATAAATAGAAAAAAAAATTAAAAGTCATATCTTATGTTAAGAAATTAGCTTTATGAGTTTTTTCATTGATAATCCTTTTTCATCCTAATCTCTTCTTTGGTTTCTATAAAAAAAAAAAAAATCTTCTAACTGTGAGGTACATCATATAACAAATATTTGCACTATATTTCTTCTTTTGGATAAAAAACATGGTCATATAATAAGAGCAGTTACTCCATTGACTATTGTCAATCTTCTTGTGAATTTTTCTTACTGTTACTTGTAAAAATGGCACTTTCAAGTAGTTTTTCATTTTTGGCTCTTCCATTTGTAAACTTCCAGATCCATCCCAGAAGGGAAAGAATCAAAGAATAAAATTTCGTGGACATCATGATCGCATTGAATTTTTGGCTTGTGGACTGTGGGAAGTAAAATAAATACAAGAAGATCAACTTGTTTCTTAGTTTTTTTTTTTTTTGACCAAACAACTTGTTTCTTAATTGAGTCATGTTTCCTTTCAAATGAATCCTCAAACTCAACGACTGGGTGTGTTTGGTTTTGGCTTTTTGCAACTTGCGAGAGAAAACTGCCCTCATATTATTATTTTAATTAAAATCATATTTTGACCAAATCCAACATAATTTCAAAAGCGCACACACTCTTGTCAAATAGATTTTTAGCAAAGTGAAAATTAAAGATTCATTTGCTCAAAAAAAAAATTAAAGATTCATTCTATGCTTTATATATATCAAAATCATATCATTTAAAAAAAGTGTCTATATTTAATACCTTATCAAATAAGATTATTTTTATTAAGAAGATATTTAAAAACAATTAGTAAAAGAGAGAGAGAATAATCTCAAATGGCATCTTACCTGTATTCGCGCTACTTTGTGATTGATCCAACACTGCTTCCTTCTTCTAAAAAAAAAGTTGGTTTAAATATTGAAGCAATATGAATTTTTTTGGCAAACAAGGACCGCCCCATCTCCATCACATGAAAAAGACTTTTCAGGTGGATCTAATAATAACCTGCCTCACTTCAGAGTATATTTGGATGCCAAATTTGTCCTCTTACATCTCCATAAATTCTCACACAAACTTATCCCTATTTTGCAAGGGAAGAAAATTTAGTTTTCTTATTTTAACTATTTGATACGAATCACTACTAATTAAATGGGTAGCTATCGGGTATTATTTTTTGCATTTATAAAATTCAAAACCATTCATCTTATTAATTAAATGGCTAAGGGATCCTTTCTATCCAACCCAATCATCTTTGGTAAATTACTAAAAGTTGTATCCTTGTAAAAACTAACGCATAATTATGTGATATGTCCTAAATTTTATAAATTTTGCAATGTAAAATTGAGTTTTAAATGAATATTTCAAATGTAAAATCAAAGTTTATAACAAATTACTAATAAAAAATGTAACAACAACTCAAAATTATGCTTTTTAATCCAAATTAAATGGCTATGTTCAATGGCGGAGCCATATTTGGTGAGGGTAGGCAAATATACCCCTCATTTTGGGACAAATTAAAAGTAAAGTATGTAAATTTTGTAACTTTTTACCCCATAATCTTAATATAATCTTAATATTTTGCATTCTATGAATTAAGAAAAAGTATTTGAACTCAAAACTTATTAAATATATAGCATTTTAACAATTGGGATAAAATATGAACAGTATATTTATATAATAGATTGTATTAACATGTTCAATATAATTTTTAAAAGAAAAATGGTAATCAATTTACTTATATCATTTTAATTTTAGTCCTAGTATAATTATTATTTTTAATTATTCAAATTATTATTTTTTAAAAATTATTTTTTAATTATATAAATTATTATTTTTAAAAAATTATTAAGTTTTAAATTAAATTACCCACAACCATGACTTCAGATCCTAGCTTAGCCACGGTCTACTGTCTATATTTATGGTTCTTATTATTAAGATTTTATTTTAAATATTAGAAAGAAAAACACCAATATAAATTGTAACATTTAAGTTTCAATTGCAGCGGTAACTGGATTCTTGTTTATAATCGTGTTAATCGAATATTTACAATTCATTTTTAGAAAATTTTATCAAGATCCAATTGTTTTTTTTTTTAACCAAATATCAAGATCTAATTGTTACTAATTATTGTCTGATATCTAATAGTGCACTCTTACAATTTAACGCGTTTGTTAGGCTTGGCTCGTGGGGAAAAAAAAAACATTTGTGAGGTAGAGATTTGGTTGAATAAACTAATGACCAATCCAAAGTTAAGAATCATTTTAAGTGACAATCAGGAAACTCACACCGTAAACCAAAAAGTTAATGCGTAGACAAAAAGCAAATAACAGAAAAAGATAGCCATCTAGTCTTAAAAAACAAGAAACTCAAATCTATAAGGTATACTAATATTTGTCTTCTGTGACTAAATTATTGTTAAAATGACCGTACACAAGCGACGCTTACACATCCTAATCATATTACTACAGCAAACACGCGAGACTGTAGACGCCAAATCTCCCCGGACAAATTTTCAAAGATGATGCAGAGCTATCGTCATCATCACTAATGGCTGATGAAGTTCTTGATGTGACTGATCATTTCCTGGGTACGAGTCTGTGAAAGATGTGAGTTATTCAGAATTTGGAACGCATGGCCCACGCCTTTGAACATCACAGTCTCCACCTTCTTCCCTGCTCTAACCAAAGCCTCAGAAAGCTGCAAGTTTCTGTCTTTCATTATATCCAATTCTGATACACACACCAGAACACCTGAAACCCTCAAGTCTCTCAGCTTGGTGACGCCGTTAACCAGAGGGTTACAATAACGGTGGTCTCGGTTTGCCCCATGAGGAAGCGATAATCTCCAGTAGGTGTCTGAGGCTGATAGAGTAAGAAACTTGTCTGAACATTGCTTCTCTGACATGGTTCTTTCTTCTCCTCCAAAGAAAGGCTGGATCAAGATTATACCTTTGAGTGACAATCGAGTGTTTGATGAAATGCGTGAACCAACATTGTAGGCTATGTTGGCTCCTGCACTGTCACCTGCAAGATAAAGAGATGATAGGTTGGTCTGATTCAGCCACCATTTTTGCCCGCTAGAGCTGTTCAGAGATTCTTGTTCCAACCACATGACAGTGCTGAAACCATCTTCATATGCAGAAGGAAGACGATTTTCTGGGGCTAAATGGTATTCCGGAGAGAGAATGATACAGTTTGCTTTCGAAGCGAGACTGGTTAAGAACTCATGGTAGCAGCTCCAAGACGCAGAGCCAACACAGAAGCCACCACCGTGGAAGTAAATTAGCAAAGGAAGCTTATTGGTGTTAGAGAAGCCTACAGGGACATATAAACGTGCCCATAGGTCGGTGTCTTTGTTGATGAAGATGTCTCTGGAAGTCACAGAACGACATGATTGTGACGATGAACAGGAAACACAAGGAACAACTTGAGGCCTTTCCACATAACCATCTCTGTGAACTCTAATGAGTCCTTGGATTTCCTCAGCGATGACTCCTTTCTGCGGGTAAGTGTTGTTGACGTGTGGGTTTTGTCTGTAGGATATGGCAGCCATTGTTATGACTCTGAAAACTTAGAGAAGAACTAAAATATATATATTTGGAATGAATTGGAACTGATCTCTTTGGTGATGCCAATTTGCCAAACTAGTGCTCTGGTTTTATAGAGAGCTAAGCTAAGCAGACACTCCTAGATAGTCAAATTCAAGTTGGAAGATGCTCCGTCGTGAAGATCCTTTTGACCCTTGTTGCACATCTTTTCTACGTGCTATGAAGTATAAACCAGATATACACATATACACATATAGTCTTTTGATCCACGGAAAGAGTATGAAACAGATAATGGGAATCTGACGGCGATGGGAGTGAAGATAAGCTTTATTCTTATCTGATGGAGGTGAGCGTATCATACTTTCCTGAAGACTTTTTATGTTGACCATGCGTGATAACTTCGACTCCTATTTATGAACTTAAAATTAAAATTGTGATGACTTTTTTACGTGATAGGCTTCTCTATTTTGGATTACATCAATACGTACAGTGAAGCGATGAGCTTCTTTTTGAGGTGGCTTCATGTTGTCCTCTCACAATGAGTCTCTTTTATCTCTCTTTTGTTCTTTATCTTCTCGTGTATGACGATCAATTATGTTAACTTTGCCTATCTATTCATTGTCAATTCTAAGCCTGATTAACTAACGTAAAATTTTATCGAATCTTTCATATAGCAAGGATCAATTATATATAATCAATTATATTATCCTCTCCAACTCCAGCTAGATTATGAGTCTACAATTTTATATCCATTTTATAATAAAATTGTATTATTTATAACTCATGATCACTGAATCCCTGCAATTTAGCGTCTGTTTGGTAATTTGTTGGTTTTGATCAAAAATATCATTTTGACTAAAAACTACTTTTACAGTATTTAAGTGGTTTTAACCAAAACTAATCTAACATCAAACATAAATACCTACTTATGCAATGTTTGATAGAAGAAAAATGTTTTCTAGTAATAAGATAGAAAATACACGTGTCATATTTTTTTCAAGCAAGTTTCTCTCTCTCTCTGTTTTTTTTAAAGTACTTTTTTATATATCAAACATGCAATTAATTAATTAAAAATTTCTTGTAGAACGTCAATTATATCTGTCCATCAAGCAACCACATAATTACTCGCTTAGATCTTAACATCAATGTAAGCTTGACTTGCTTGAGGTTGTTGACTATTCCTTTTCATTTTCTACTTCCTACCCTTAGGGCAAGATTTTTCTTTGTTAAAATTTCAGAATGGTTTTCAAGTACAAAAAGTTTTAGACTAAAAACAAAAAAGGGAAAAGAGAGAATGCAATGAAAAAACATCTTTACATACTGATATAAAAATATAATAAATAAGACTAATTAAGTGCGTGTAGAAGCCTACTTTTTTTTTTCACTAGCAATATTGCACAAGCCGCGAGGGAATTGCAAGGGTGTGATAGAATAAACTCTTCTATAAATGTAATTTATTTGTACGAGTCTTTTTTTTTTTTCACTATTTCGCGATCAACCAAACAGGAAACACGCTGAAAAAATATTCAAGACTACAAAATTGCACATACGTGTCTGTGTGTAATTTTACAACCCATTTGTTTTATCTTATGCTAAAACTCATATATAGTTTTTTTTTTACCATAAATGTTAAACAGAAAATTAATTATTATAATATTATAGTTTTAACTCAATCCTTAAAATTTAACTAGATGCAGTCCAATCTTTATAGTTTTAATTATTTAAAACATCAATCCTAAGTTTCAAGAAATAACTTTACAACAACAACAACAACAAAATCTTATCCTGGCTATTACGTAAGATTGACTATATTAATTGTACTACGTCATTATGTTCCATTATTTACTAAGAAATAACTTTATTCTTCATAATTTTATTTTCTAAACTATATAAATTAACATTTTAAATGATTAAAATTATAAAAATTGGGTTATATCAAATAAAATGTAGATATTAATTTATAATTGAGTCAAAATTATAAAAAGTAAATAATTAATTTTTCCAATGTTAAATTATTTTGATATGATGAGTCCCATGTATTGCAAATTGCATAGAGTCATATAAATAGACTATATTATCCATAACTCATAAATAATACGATTTTGTTAAAGTTTTTTTTTATTTTTTATTTTGCCAGAAGTTAAAGTTGTTATTCTTAGATACATAATCTGAGTCAAGATCTTCTAGAAATTAGATCTACATCATACATAGAGCGTCTGTGAGACATTTACTCACAATTAAATTCTCTAATTACACATGTCAAAATATAGTGTTTTGTTTCTTTTAGTGAAAATCACACTACACACAGATTTGGCCGTTGATGTCCTGATCATGAGAAAGGACCGAACCAAAATTGGAGAGAAAGAAAGGGGGGAGGGGGGGAGGTTCATGACCTAATTCCAAGTACATGCATGCAGATTGAACAGTATAACTTTATTCTCTAAATATCCCATAAAATCTCTTCAAAAAAATAAAATATGCTTTCAGCAGATTCTATACAAAGCTGATTTTGAAAATTGTCTCTTTCTTTTAGATTTGGAAAATCTACTAACCTGGTCCAGGGCTCGACAACTTAATTAAAGAACAGAAATCAAACACACAATGTCCGTGAATTGCATTGTATTGGATTTTATTATCAGTACTTGCATTTTCGAATCTCCTTTTCTAACTAAATTTTACTTTCTCTTTTCAACTTTATATTATCTGCAATTCCAAACAGCAGGTGGGTAAATAACATGTGAGCCAAACTTATTGTGGTGGTGCTTAATTCAAAGAGATCGTGCCATTGAAAACTGAAGCTCATTGGATTCTCTCTCTCTCTTTGTTTTTTTTTTTTTTTAAATCATGGGTGAATGACATTAAGGGGGTAAAAATTGAATCAAATTTAAAGAAGGGACCGAAAGATTTGGAAATCCAAAATAATGACCAATGATCCTTTGGTAAATTAGTCTAAAAATTTGCTTCCTTCTTGTTTCATGATTTACAACCAATCAAGACAAGAATTTACAAGTAAAATTTTTTAACTTGTAAGAAAAAAAAAACTTTTCAAATACATCATCACTTTCAGTGGTTTGATTCTCTTAAACTCTCGCTTGCAACCTTCAAAACACAAATTTGCAAATAAGATTCATTAATTTGTAAACAAAAATGATTTCCAAGTAATGATATATTTGATAATAGGGAAAACATAATCATTGATTATTATTATTATTATTCTTCTTATTATAAGTTTATCAAGTTTTGTTTTTAATCCCTGTAATTTGTATGTTTTGAATATTTTCAATTCTTATAGTCTCTATAATTTAACATTATTTGGGACTTGAAGAACAAACTTTACCCAATTTTATTGAAACTATAGAAATTAAAAATATTAAAAATATTACACAGACTAAAAGCAAAACCTGATAAAATTTTAGGAACTAATGATTGTATTTTTTCTTAATAATAAGCTTTTCCTTTATAAATTAGTGAATCTTACTTGTAAATTTTGTTTTGAGAGTTGAAAATCATAAAATGAGAGCAGAAAAATTTTACTAACTACTAAAAAGAGAAATACTTAGATACATCAGGTAGACCATGTTGTGATATGTCTAATAAAAACATCACATTTAAATGGTATTTAATGTAAATTGATTTTGATAATAATGATAGTGAAGAGAGAAAAGGAAAAAAAATTAAATGTGCATTATGTTATAAAAATAAAATTAATTAAAAAAATTCACACAAAATTTTATTTAGATTGCTTGGAGCATTTTAATTAGAAAGACTATAAATGATATAATGTAGTCGGTCTACCTAAATATTTCTCTTACTAAAAAAGACCTTTGGTCCTTATTTTAGATTTTTAAATCTTTTAGTTCTCACTTAAGTTTAATTTAATCTTTCAATATTGTTTCACCATTTATCTTAGAGTTTTATGTTGAAACCCATCAAAACCATGCACCCACCCACTCTCTCAACTCTCAAGATTGTTGGTATTTTATTGTCAGTAATCAAAACATGCAATCAAGTGGTATATATAGTTTTTGTCAATGCAAGGGTATAATAAAACCGTACAATAAAACTAAAATCAGATCATATCAAGTGATATATATATATATATATATATAGTTTTGAGCTACGCATAATTTTTGTCCTTACATGCTTATTAAATATTATGATTGGAAAGGAATTGATTAAAATTAATTAGGGAGAATATCAATAAAAGACAGTAAATTGATTTAATATCAGACAAGGCTTAAACGAATCAAATACATGTTAAAATTTGAACTTTCATTTATTAATTATTAATATTTACTTGTTACAAATTCTTGTCTATATGAAATTATTTCATACATCTTTTGTTGATATTCTCCCAATTAGTTAATGTTGATGCATTACTAAAATGCAATCGTTAATTAATTGTCGCCTAGTATATATATTAAAGAACGTTTTTAGCATTAGGAAAACATCTCTAATCGTACTTATGTGTGTACTTATTAATTATTTGATCGATCATAAAAGTCTAACTTGTTTGTGACTCGTCATGTTTTTATTTTTGGACCAAAAAAGTTGACATGTTGTAAGAATATTTTTCCTAATAAGGCTAAAAATCAAACTCAAATGTAATTTTCTTTTCTTTTTTTCTTTTCCCAAATGCGACAAAATAATAAAAGCAAGAAAAAAGAAGATTCAAGATAAATCTCGCGTCTAGTACAATTTGTCTAATATAGCCCACAGAAGCATCGGCTATCAAGTATATGAACATAGATGCCTCGATTCGTCTTTTATTTGTGTGTACTTGTCTACTGTGTATTCCTCCGTGGCTTTGACATCAGGGCATCCAATTTGCACTTCTTTTTATCATGCTGCAACTTACAATTTATTGCTCAACCAACACTCAAATACGGTTGTTTTTAATAAAAAAATATTTTTATGAGTAATAAAAAAATTTATATTTACAATGATCAAATAAATATTAATTATAATTCACTTGTCTTCACGATGTGTAGAACTTAATTAACTACCATTAAATTGGATTTTTTTTCAAATAATTGTCATTTCCCTGATTCTTTTTTACTTATTAGACACTTCACAAACTTTTTACTTTTGTTGTTTTGGGATATATAACAACGCCACAATGTGAAATCATGCAGGAAGAACAAAATTTAGATCAATAAGTAAAATAGTTCCTATTATCCCAACAGTTTCGAACGTGCTAACCCCAGATTA